GCATTGGAAATTGTCATTCCCTTGCGCTTTTGCTCAACTTTAAGGGGTGTTTAAGAGCCCGACTCTACCAGATCCAGCCTTGTTGCACCCCGTGCAATCCTCTTCTCAATGAACTCCGGCTTCCACGAAAAAGCGTCAGTTTTGACAACGATAGCCGCACTTTAGCAACCCACTCTGCTGCCACCACTCCTCCTAATAAGCCCTAGGGAATGGTCTCCACCACCTGCCATGGCATCCATATCACACCCTCGCTGCATTTGGCCAAATTATTTTTAGTGGGGGAAAGTGTTTTTTTTTTTTTTCCCCCCAAAAAAAATCCAATATCTTTCCCTGGTATCTCTGATTTTTCCGAAAACTTTCCATTAGCAGAAATGAAATTTAGAAATCGTCAAAGCTGGGGAGCTCAAAATTTGGTTCAGCCCCCCGGTACCATCTTGGGTCCAATACGCCAAGCCTTTTTGTGCCCTCCACGTATACTGGCGAAGGCTTTTCTAGGTGGCTACCAAGCTGGTTGTTTGAAACGACATTCTATGGATCAGAACCTAGGGCAGTGGCCGTAGTAGAGGCAAAAAGGGGAACTCCGTTTGCTGTTTACCGAGGCTAGACTGCAATGTGAAACGGTTTTCACCTTTTTGCAAACACAGATGCGGAGCCCAGGGCTCGATCCCCAGATCTCACCTTATCCTACACTACCTGTGTACAGTATCAAGTTGCACCTGTGAGTCTTGAACCCGTGACCTGTGTGTTAGTAGTTGAGAGTTGTCTATCGTAGGTCTGAGTCGTTATCGGGTCTTGAGCCTTAGACCTGTCGCAGTAGGGGTCATAGTTGTTGTAGTTCTGATCAAGGTCGTAGCTGCTACAGTCCTGAAAGGTCAAGGTCGTAGCTGCTACAGTCTTGAAAGGCCAAGTCCGCAAACTTCCGGAAGTTCCGGAAGTGACCTTTCAAGTTTCTTCTCACGTTATACACAGTAGGCCAGAGGCAAGTGGGCAAGTGTTAAGTCCAACTTCGCTTAGTCAGCGGTACCTCGTCCCAGTCTTCCTTTGTACAGTCAGCAAGTACCATGAGGAACTGTGTGCACCATGGGCCCGGTTGAAAAGGGCAGACCAGCGACTTACAGAAAAGGTAGCGTCCAACCATTCATTCATTCGCTGCATAAGCCATGCGGAAGCGCTGCCCCAGCGTCTTGTGCGAGGTGGTCTGCAGAGCGCCCGAAGTCGAAGAGGGCCGGAAGAAGATAGCGTGGCCATAGTAGTAGTAGCGAGCGGCCATAGCCGCCATAGGTTAGAGATAGCTGTTAGTGTGTGTGTGTGATACAGAGTGAGTGTGCGTGGGGTATTCAGGGTGATCCAGAGTTGAGTTGGTGTGAATGGTGGCATTGGAAACAGTATCAAGAGTTGGGATGTACAGGCGCGGAGGCGCCATAGCCTTTCGAAGCGAGTTTGTGTCCAAACTGTGTTCTCGATTTCCGTATCTCTGAGTTTTGAGTGGGCGCGCTGCGCCAGTGTGAATTCGCGATCTGTTCGCATGTATGAAAAGTGAAGAAGAAAGCGAGTCTGATTGCAAACGTATCGCTATTGGGCTGCACTGCGATTCAAGCGTTATGGCACCCCCACTGTGCCGGGTGCAAATGATGCATGCCCAGTTACAGGGCGGGTATGCAGTTTTTATATACCCTATTGAACTTCAATCCACAACGAATTCACACATTCCCATACACGCATGCAATTGCAGAGTAGACTCGAAGGAGGCAAATCCACACAAAACCGGAGCAAAGATATGCACAACGGAAGCACAAAACACAGAGAGAATTGAGAAACGACTTTCAATTCTGCAATCCCTCGCACGCCTCCAGTCAATCCAGAGTACTTGTTCCAAGAATCACAATCGCGTTTACAACAACCCCGAACAACCAGAAACAAGTGTTCATCGAAATATACAGGAGTGTTACGATCCTGGTCATTTCCCAAGTGCAAATTCACAATGAAAGACAATGCCACCCAATTGCGAAAGAAATGAAAGCACTTGCAAAGAGATAGAGACCAGAGGAGAGAGA